CATAAAGCTGACTTGGATGTTGTTTCAGAATATTTACTCTGGTTAACTAGAATTTGATTCCCAGGGGATCATCTTCACTTTGGGTTGAATAAACTCCTATGTTCTCATACTTCATGTTCCTCAACTTGCTTAGGTTGACATTTTTAGGGACCACACGGGATCCTAAATGACCCTCCTTGTTCTTTAACACCAGCTCCAATACTCTTTTAAGACATTTTAGCAATTGAACCTATAGTTTCTTTTTCTCTGGGGTCATGCTGTAGACCACGGCTGAGTCCTCTCAGGATCCCAAGATAGGGTTTTATGCAAGCCATGTGCTGAAGCTTTTCCATGAGAATTATGTGTCAAATATTCCCCTCTTGGTAGCAGCTACATAATGCATTCTGCCTTCCTTTGCAGAAAATTTAGATATCAGATGAGAACAGAGTTTTAGTCCTATGCATCTTGACATTTATTTATTTATTTATTTATTTAAGAATGTGGTTTTTGCTTTGATTGATTCAGCATAAGCACTTTATAATTGCAATTACTTTTATGCTTTGTAGTTCATTTATGCTTTGGAGACCAATCCTCTGATTCCAGAAAAACCACAAAGTTAAATCTGGAGAGTGAGAGGAAGATTGTTCCTTCCAGCCAGACAGGATGCTCTAGACAACTAGACTTAGTGGAATCAAGGGAGGTTGGCTCATGACATTCATCTGTGTCAGTTAGAGTGCCTTCCACTAGAAGATTATTTTAGGAAGCTTTCAGGCTACTTTGAAGGTAAACAAAAATGTGATTAAAAGGCACCATAAGCATCCTACTTTGTACAAGAAATTAGGTTTTCAAAGCTTATAAAAGTGCAACATTGATTAAAAAGTATTAACCTATGGAATAAAGCTTAGACTACTTCTCTGTTATCATCAGACTCACTAGCTAAAAAGCAAAATGGATTCCAAGAGATTTGCAGTACTTAATGATTGTAATGTACATTATACTTCATAGTATTATCATTCAAATTGGCTTCACTATATTTCATATAATTGTATATTCTTAAATGTCATAATTTTGAAGAGAAAGTTACTTCAGATTTCTAAAGAAGTTTCCAATTTGAAATTTTTGACATCACATTCCTCACTATATAAATACATTGTTTTAAAGATAGCTCATTTTTTTATTCTTTATCCTTTCTATGAAAAGTTGAGTGTACTAAAGTGCTTAAAATACAAGGTAAAAGCAGCCAAATAAACTGGAAGCAAACCAAAGAAAGAAAGAAAAATAACCAATAATTATTAGTGGAAAGAAAAATATCCACTAAATGGAAAATCTTTTTTTTTTTTTTCAGGATAAGCCTTAACTAATTATAATTTACATGACAAATATTTCAGTGTGGAATGTTTTTTATTTTTTGGTACCGGGGATCAAACTCAGGCCCTCACCCTTGCCAGGCAAGTACTTATGCCACTGTGCCAACTCCTCAGTTTCACTATGGAATTTTTAAATACCAGTTTTGGAATACAGACTGTGAGGATTTACACAAATAACTAATCAGTTCTGATTACAAGGCTTAGGTAGACTGCCCAGCCTCTCTGTCTTAGATCCTGTTGCTAAGACCTTCAGAGCTCTTCACTGATAATCTACAAATATTCATTTCATGAAATATTCATTTCATTGTTTCCCTTTTCTCAAACATTCTACCCTAATCTGTGATAGTTATCTGATCCTGTCAATTTGAGTAAGGAATGTCCATCTTAATTGGATCCCCATAGTTCTGGGCGTGGCTGGAAGGATTTACTAAACACAGAAGATCCACCCTGCATGTGAGTGATACCACCCAATACACTTGCCACCTGAATGGAATAAAAGGGAAACTGAGAAGGAAGGCTGGCTTCTGCTTCTTCCCGGAACACTAGTCTTCATTTGCACCCTAGACATTGTCTCCCAGCTTGTAGTGCAAACCCTTCAGTGCTCGCTCCACTGCCGAACTGCACAGGACACCACAATGAGTCCCAAGCATTTGGCAGCACAGATAGTTACGTCCAGTGCACAGACCGCCCTGCGGATGGACATTGTAAGTCAGTTTTGTAAATTCTTAATACTTGTATATCTTGATTTAAATCTGTTTATCTAGTAAGCACTGAATAATACAGATTTTGGTATCAGGAGTGCCTCTAGAGAAACAGAATTATAAAAATGAAATTCTTTAATGACTAGTGGTTCCTGATGTTGGCTAACTTGAAGAATCCTAAAGTCCTAAAGTCATGATCTCTTCTGACACTGGGGAATTTTGATAGCCTCTGGTGTGAGCAATTTAGAGTAATATGCAATGTGAATCCGAGCATACTAATTCACCACTTGTGAGGTGTAAAGAATATGACACTCCTGAGTAATTTTGGCAGAGTGGGCAACATAACGATGCTAGCAGGTTGATCTCTGCATCTCTGGGCAAACTAGTGAAGGAAGACAATGACCGCAAAATATTCATAGAAAATCTAAAGTCGTCTAACTGTGAGAGCAAATCGATAAAGGAACATAGGATCACAAGATTCAAATTCTCAGCTCCAGACACACATAAAGAAATTAAAAGTTTCTAAGTGTCTTGAAAGAATGTCTTCTCCTTTAGCTGCTGGGTTATTGCAGAAACCCATGCCTTCATAATCTGGTTGGCTGAAATAGAGCCCAAATTTAATGTCCAGTCTTGAAGGGTATCTGAAATGATTTATTCTGCGTGGCACTGAAGATTATCCCAAGTGACTCAGTTCACTGGGTAGTAGAACCACAGAAACTGAACGTTTCCTTCTCTCAATTATACTTTTATGATGCAAGTTTAGAGGATCCAAAGCTCCAGGGCAAACCTTAGAAGCTCACAAAGTGTCAATAAAGGTAGACTTTGGGGTTTTCGGGACTGAAGATGTGGGAACAATATACAGTAGCTGCAAGCGTTTGTTACCAGTGTTAACACTTCAGAATGGTCTGCCTTTTGATGCTACAAGCTGACGTCTTCCCGTGGTGGAAATTTCCTGTTTCTCTTTGAGAAAGCTAATTGAATCTTGTTTTCATTGCTTTTCCTCAAAGGCTCCTGTGGAACACAGGCATACGCACATAGACGTAATTATAAAGATTTCTTTGCACATTTGCCTCTATCCAACTCTGGGATCCAGAACCCGTATGACTGGCTGATGGTGCACATAGACTGATTCCAAGTTTGGGAAAACATAAGTTCTTCCGGCTCTCCCTCCCCACCTGTGACTACCTCTGACTCCTCACTCCACCCTCTAAAGAAAATGCATTCTTAGCCTGCCTGGAAGGCGGCAGCCTAATCGATTATAAAGAAGAAAACAAAAATCACAGCCTAAAGACGGGTTTTGAGCGGCACCACCCCACTCTCCAGAGACAAAACCGTGGGACAGGTACCAAATTCCCAGCCACAAAGCCCAGAGCCCAGGGCCCAGAGGATACAGGCCAGGGGAAGCTGCATGGCTCCATAAACCACTCCCACAGCTCCAGGCTTTGGCCATAGGTCTCCACCTCCCTCCTCCCGGAGTTTTTCTTTGCCTCTGCCACCAATCCACAAAGTGGCTTCTCGGAAATGTTACCAGATTCTGCAGAGCAGGAAGGAAGGGGCTAATGAGGGCAGACAGGGCTCTTCTGGCTGCTGGTCACACAGGCGCGCGCACACGCACACGCCCCACCCAATGAGGTGACCGCGCGGTTTTGGCGACCCTTCCTCCGCCCGCTACAAGCGCTGGGGGGCGAGACTGCCGCATCCCTCCGCCGCCCTGGGGCTCGATCCACGCCCTGCGCAGCTCGCAGGGTGGAGCAAGGAGCGAGGGGTGGGGACCCGGCGCGGAGGGCGGGTGCAGAGGGAGCCGGAGCGGTGCCCGCGGAGGGCGGGGTGGCGGGCTCCCGGGGCGCGCCTTGGAAGCCGGGCTCAGTGCTGTGCAGCCCTCGCCCGCGCTCCAGCGGCGGCAGCCTGCTTCGGGGTCGGCAGGCCGGGCTGGGCCAGCTTGGGTACCGCTGGGCGGCGGTGGCAGGTGTCGGCCGAACCACAGGATCCCAGTGAAAGAGAAGGACGCAGAAGCTGAGAGCCCGCGAGCGGGGACCGCTTCCCTGCGCCCCGGCGCTCTGCCCCGGGCCGGACCCTGCAGGTGGGCACGTCCGTGGGCAAGGTCGCCGGTAAGTGCGTCCTTTTCCTTGTTCTCCTCTGGTGGGCGGGAAGGGGAGCTGCTAACCTCGCCCTAGTCCTCGCGCCAGCTGCCACACCCACCTGTGTCCCTCTCCTGCGCCCTGGTTTGATCTCTCTGTGTTACGCCACCTGCGAAGTTCAGGAAGGAAGCTTTGTGGGGTGATTTCCGCAAAGGGGGGAAAGAAGCTGGAAAGGCAGCTGTTTCAATAGCAAAACCGCTGCTGTGCTGGTTCCGACTCTGGGTTGCTACCAGGTTCTGGGTGTGTACCGGAAGAGTACACATCCATGCACAGGAGTTTATTTTTTATTTTATTTTATTTTTGTCTACCCTCGCGACGCTATTAGATGCAGTTCAGTACCAGGGTCTGCTCATAATTCTTTACCTGCCAAAAGCGTGCGCAGTGTTGCGCATCCACAAAGCGCAGCGCGCAGCCTGGCCTCGCGGGTGCGACCTGTGGGGGACGGGGATGCGCCCCAGTACTTCACAGACGCCAGTAACACTCAGGACCGCTTCTTCGTCTTTCTCAACGCGGTGGTCTGTTTCTTTAAGCAAATAAGCGCTCTCCAGCGATATTTAAACAAGATTGAGACTTGTTTTAACGTTTTATCCCTTTCAACTGAAACTTTCATGCACTTTTAGAAAAAAAAAAAGGTATTTTCGTTCTTCACTGAAAGACGTAAGAACAAAGAAAGATGATCAAATTAATCACTTCAATGGCAGTTTTTGTGGTAGTTGTAAATTTAACACACAATTGTAGCATTTACAAAAATTGTTTGCATTTATAACAAACTACGCCTCTTCTGAAAATAAGAGCAATTTTCATGAGCAAAAAGCTTAGGGGAATTTTGAAAAAGTTTATTTCAATAAGATAAAAATCAAATGAAAGTGATTTTAAAGAAAGAATAGATTTTCAGTTACTGAGGGTGAAGGCAGCTTTGGGAAGTGCAGTTATTTTCAGAAAGGTTTTCAATAGTCTTTTCTATTCTTTTTTTCCTCAGGACACAAGAAAGCTTTTTTAAATCTTGGTTTTTTTCATTTTACTAACTTTAAATATGTTTTATTATCAATAAAACCTGTGTATATGTTATCTGCAAGCCAAATTCAGTTATTAAATTGCCTAGTTTATTGAAAGTCTCTGAATTCTTATCCTGTGGATTTTAAAGCATCAAAACTAAAATTTACTTCCTTAAAAATAGTAAGTAGTATTTTTAAAAAAAAAATTATTGAAAGCCAGTTTTGTCTGATCTCTAGACTGAGGATTCAGATTGTTTGAGTAGCTCATTCAAAACAAAACGCTGCACAAAACATGGCCTTTGATATAATGGAGGACATTTAGGTAATTGACAGTAGTTTAGCTTCAGATACTGTTTTTCATTTATAATTTTTTTATTATTTTATTTTATTTTATTCTACATTTTATGAGTATTTAAAGAGAGGCTTCCTTGTGGAAGTGAACCACTGTGAGGTCATGGACCACAGTAACGTATTTTATGGAGGCTTCTATAATACAGAGCCGGGCCCACAGGGTACCTGATGCTTCCACAGAAGACAGCTGAGTCAGTTCTGGCTCTCTGCCCAGAGCATCTCTGTGGCTTCTTATTCCCCAGGCACACAGGAATCATGGGATCTATCCTGTTGTAATGCTTCTGTGTTTTTGCTACTTGTTGCTGAGGTGAATTTTGCCAGCAAAGGAAAATTCAGAGGGAGAATCAGTGAAGTTATATTCACCGTATTTAATATCTAAGGCATTTTCTTTGAGGCAAGGAAAAAAGAATTTTGCATTTGTACAGTTAATAAAAATATGTTTTTCTAAATTCTATTGTTACTAGATATGTAAATGACTTTGAAATGGCGTGGTACTTTTTATTTTAAAAAGCAAAACAAAAAAAGGGTAGGAATGATACAGAATTTTTAAACAATACTAGGAAATTAACATTAGTTAATATATTGCATATTGTTATCTTAGAATTAGTTGTTCAAGTGACAAGATCTAGGCACAAAAAATGATCAATCATTTGGGCATGGTACTTTTCTAAGACGTATTAGTCATGCCTTGTAAAGGAGATAAACTTTCTTAACATAATGGACTCTTTCTAGATATCCTAGTGGTGATAGTTTATGATTATCCCTTAAACTGTCTCACATACACTGAGTGATGAAGTTACCTTTCATTACTGTCTCTTCTTTGTGGTCACATTTCATCTTTATTTAGCCTGCATATAGTCTATCAAGCCTTCTTTCCCAAATATACCTCTGTTCTATTAGACTTCTCATTTTATCTTTTCCATCCTCCTTTCTAGATCTACACTGCCCCTAAGTACGTTTATGTCATTATCTTAGTTTACCTGGAGTCCTACTACAACCATCACATTAGTCTCCAGAGAGACTAATTCCATAATTCATTTCCCAGTATTCCTTGGTCCATGACAACTCTGAAAAACAAGAAAACACTGAGACACCAAGATTGTTGAACATTAACTGCAAATTCCTTCCTGCCCTATACAGTTGACTCTCTGAACCTTGCTTCTCTCCAACCTCAACATTTTCCCCTCATGTAAGTGCTCCTGCCACCAGGGGCTCTTAGTACTAGAACACATGAAGCAATGTCACTTCCATAAGGCCTTTCCACATGCTGTCCTCGGTGCTGACCTATTTCCCTCCTATCTTTGGATGACTAACTCAAACCACATCTCAGCTCAAATGTCTCAGTCTCAGACAGATCATTCTTGATTGCTTTGTCATAGTAGTTGTCTCCTTTTAGTCTTGCTCTTGATATCTTTCTGGTTTCCTTCATAGCATTTACTATGGCATCTAAGTATTTTTCAGGTTTGCATACAAGTGCCCTGAAAGATCCCATATTATGTCTCTATTGTTAATCCAGTTTCCAGAATAGTATCTGGCATGGAGCAGTAGGTTTGTTGATATGCATGTAAAAATATACAGAGATATGAGTCATTTCATCATAGTACTCACAAACCCTGGAAATATATATATTCTGTAATTCAGGTTTTTTTAGTTAATGAATATTAAGTATGATTACAACGCTGTGCTATGATTTTGAGGAGGTAAAATTAAAATATCCTGAGATGAAGTCTCGTTTTTCAGAAGTATCATCAAGCTACAAAATTTCAAGAATAAATGAAATATAATATTCTTAGGAAGTAGTGACTACCACTGTATTAAAATATACTTTAAGAAAAAATTGAAGTGCATAAACTAATCTAATTTTAGTATGAGTGACTACTACTTTACAGTGTTAACATTATTAAGTCTGTATCTTTTACCAGTGATTTGAAGATCACTCAGTAACTACTAAATTTACATTTTATTTTTTAATAAGTATGGATACCAGAGTGAGCCCTGGTGACAGAAGTTTGGTCAGGTGAAGCTGAGGTCATGGATTGAGTGTCCACGTGACCTGATGTCTACTCCAGGGGCAAGGGGCAAAAGTCTCACAAGCACAAAGCACTCACTGAGTGAGGCTCGGTGGCAAATGTGGGTTGTGAAGACCCGTCACCATGCCAAGGAGAGCGATGGAGGCTTCAAAGTTTATGCTGGTTAGTGATAATGCAGTAAACTGTATGTAATATGTTTGTACATATAACTTACATGTATATACATATACATATGTGTTTACTATATGCATATTTTGCAACAATAAAACTCCTTATCCCTTTATTTTTCAAGAGTACTAAAAGATACTAACTTAACAAATATATATTTTTTCATTTTTGGTTAAATTTAGCTTTCAACTAGGAGACTATTTTTTAATGATTTTGTTTATTTAGTTATGTGGCCAACCACATGATTTTGTCATTGTTGTAGTTTGTGCTGGATAAAATTTTGGTAATTGTGTTTCATCTTGAAGGACTAAATTCTTTCATGAATTGTCATTAGGGATTTTGCTAAATTGTGGTTATTGTGCAATATTGCAATATATTTGTATACTGAGTGATGGTCCTGTTACAAGTTAGATCATTTATTTTGCACAAAAGCATTGCGACATCTTTCTTACATAGAGTTAGAGAACCACTTGAGGTGGCAAGGTAATAGTAAATTAGATTTTATAGGATTTTATGAGAGTAATTTTTAATATAAAGATGTATGAGAAAGAGCTCAGCAGAATACCTTTGTGGAAAATGAGAGAATAGTTTTGGTGGTGTGCCATAACGTAAGATGACATTTCTTCATTGAAAGTTTTGCTTTCTCTCTCCTGTCTGCATTGCTGGAAAGAAATGGCTTTAGGCACTAGGGGAAGCCATCAGTTCTTGGCAGCTGAAGTAGAATGAAGTTTGGACGGCTGTAGCCCTTATAGGTGGTGAGGAAAAATGCCAGACCATGGTAAGCAGGGAGGGAAGGAGGACTGCCTTGAACACAAACAGTACACATACCATGCCATAGGAAAGTTTGACTTGACATTATGTTTAGAATTAAATTTTCTATACCTTTTTTAGCAATGCTGAGAAAGGTCTCTTTTTTTCTTTTTTAAAACAAAATTCACTGTAAGAGGAAAACATGCAGTTACTGCTACTTTTAATATGAAAAATGGAATACCTTTCAGGCTTTTTTTAAATGCCACTGAGCTGTATCCCCAGCCCCTACGTTTCAGTTTTTAAACTGATACAACAGGGAGCCAGAAATGCCATAGAACATTGTTAAAATACACCATTACTTTAATTATAACTTCACTATTACTTGTTTTATGATTTCCTTTTGTTGTGTCAAGTGTGGTGAGAGACTGCTATTATCCATCATAAATTTGTTTAAGTCTTCATAGATTTTTTTACAAAAGTTTCTGAATCACTTATAAAATACAAGAAAATTCTAATTCTGTCTGTAATTATTTGTTTGAAGATTTAGAGGGTGGGGTTACATTTACATTGTCATTAACCAACGTCCTGTGGTATAATAAATACCTTTCATTCAATTTTTCCTCTTCTCTCCTATGTCTTATTTTATAAGCATTTGATACATAAGCTGGTATCACTGTACTTTTAAGTCAAATTATTAGTGCAAAAATTGAAAAATTGAGCTTCTAAAGAACCATTAATAAGATTATAATGATGCAGCGAAGTATAAATACAACAAATTTCCATAGAGATTTTAAATGAAATTTTGTCTATGTTGTATGCTGATCTGGATCCTATAGGGTTACTGGTGGTTCTTAAAAATTAGGAATGAGTTCACTGAGTGTAATGTGTGACAACATTTAGTACTGCTCATTTTATGCAAACAAATAAAACAGGGAAAATGGAAAAATTACAGAATGTTAGATATTGCACGATGGACAAGTATGGTAAATATTTAAATTTTAAAATTTATTACTGTGAAAGATACATTACCAAGAACAATGAGGTAAGTGTGCTCAAAGTAAGGGAGATTATTTTGAAGGCGATTCATGGTACTTTGTATTTTATTATTCTAATATTTCTTTAAAATTAAAGAGTATAGTTTTAATCCCCCCACATTAGTCAAATATTTATGGCAATTTCTGTCAAATAAAAACATCATGATGGGTCCTCATCCAAGGTTCTCATCCACTGTTATTTCTTACTCTTCTCCAAAGTCAAAATGACCATGGAAGGTGAATGCTACTAACTGATTGAAAGATTCACAGAAAAAGACTTCCAGAACTTTCCCAGAAAGTAGCAAGAAGGATGAGAAAATTGTGTTCAGACTAAGGAGTTATATTTTGATGGGAGCTAAAGGCAATGTATCTTTTACTGTAACAAATTTTTAAAAATCCATTGTATTTTTCCTTTATGTTGTATAATGATGAAATACAATATTTTATGCTTTACATATCTTAAAATGACTATTCTTTCAGTTTCAATGGACAGTGTTACTTTAGGACTTACAGTAAGGATAATTTGCTATCTACAGGTAATTTCAAATAGGATAATAGACTTTCACCGGTAAATTATGCATTTGCTTTCTTTACATAAAAGTACAGAATTAACTTTCCTTTGGCTCAATCGGATGAGGCCAATTTTTATAAATATGAAAGCATTTCAGGACAAAAGTATTACAAAGTTGAAGTGGTGTTTTTGTTTCCTTCTTAACATAATACTCTCTTTGGCAATATTTGTTGTAGTTAGGGATTGTAAAGAGCACAAGACAATACAGGGCCCATATGTATTGAAGTATTTTGTAGTAGTCACTAGAAGAGTCAGACACAAGAAGTGCAGGAAATCTGTCCACACAGGAAGACCTAAGGAATCCAACTGAGGGCCTGGCTCCCACAGCAGTGTCCTGCAGGAGTCCGGCTGAAGACCTAGAGCCCATGACAGTGTCCCCACAAGTCCAGCTGGAGGTACAGAGCCTGTGAGAATGACTCATGCAAGGCTGTTTCATAGATCTGTGCTGGTAAGGCCCAAAGGTCAGGAGTGGAAGCTAGAAAGTCTTTACGAGCAGGGTCAAGGATCTGTGCCAGTAGGTTGAGGGTTCTGCGCTGGAGCCAGGAAGCAATGTTCAGAATAAAGTGCTCCTCTGAAAAGTACTACAGCCATCCTCAATAACTGTGAGGTCCCAAGTTCCTCTGATGATGAGAGCAGCCGAGTTCATATCAGGAAGCCAGCATGACGAGCTTCTCCAGGAGACTGAACACCATCTTCTCCTCTAGAGCCAGGAACTGATGCTTGAAGTAAGGACCAGAACTTCCCCAAAGTGAACTGCAGCCATTTTCTGCAACAACAAGGTCCTGAGCTCCTGTGATGATGAGAACAGTCAAATTTTTATCAGGAAAGAAGCTCAGTAAGGTCCTCCAGGAGAATCTATGGCAGCAGGAGAATAAATAACAACCAGGGGAACCAAGGACACCACACTTCCTCCCCAGTTCTCCTGTTTATTTTAGCAACAGTCCTTAAATGGGCCATCAACTCTCAGCACCATGCTGATTCAGTTCAGCTGGTATTATGAGTTGACCACCAGTTATCAATCCATCACACTATTCAAACTTGGGTTAGGGAAATTCCGGGAATGAGCAGAGAAGTGCCAATTCTTATAAACCTAGGAGATAACTTGATATTCAGGAGTGAATTCTTATAAGAATGGCAATGCAAAGAAATACCTTTCAAACTTTGAAGGGCATATTACATCTCTAGTGCTGCATTCTTAAAGGTACTTTTTTTTATAAAGTTCTAAAGACACAGATAAATAAACTTGTGTTCAAGTTAATGTAGAGAAAAAAGTATTTTTGCTAGATAGTTCTTTTGATCAACATGTGGTCTTAGTCGCATACTAATTTCTCAAATGCAGTTTTACTATGTGGAAAAAGGGTATATCTATTTCTAAGAGCAGCTTTCAGTGGCTCACAAATGGTAACTAGGTGTTCAGAACAATGCTACCTAAATGAATATGACCAACTTAATATGTCATAATCAACATATATTGCAATTTCATGTTTGAATATAAATGATACTATCTACAAAGTTTTCGTTGTTACTTTTAATTCTATTTTAGAGAATAGTGATAATGTTGTTTGCCCTATTTTTAAAGATAGTTAAAACTGCGTTTCTTACTTAGGATCATTCCATTTTAAATACTTCATGACATTCTTTTGGTATTCAGTTATTTGCTGTTGTCAAAATTTTATATTAAATGTCTAAAGATAATCAGTTAAAAATCATAGAAGGGTATCCAAAACTGGAAATTTGCTGAGTGTCTAACTCTAGTGTCAGTATGCTTTTTAACCCAATCTATCAGGATTCTACTTTGGCACAGAACAGTTTAGTGGTAGAGCTGACCTCGTCTTAGTGTATCATGAAACAGCCATATCATTGTGTGTGTGTGTTTGCAGGGGGTGCATGTATGTATGTATGTGTGTGTGCGAGGTACAGGATTGAACCAAAACATTTCTCACTGAGCTCCATCTCCAGCCTTATTTATTATTTATTGTTTTAACTTTGGGACACAGCCTCAGGCTCACTGAGTTGCTGAATTGTCCAGCCTGGGCTGTAATTTGCAATCCTCCCACCTTCTAGTGCTCTGTGATTTTACGCGTCTGCCATCATCCCCAGCTGATGCCTACCATAGGAAAGGAAGTTTTTAAAAAGCATAACAGAAATTTCTCATCTATATTACTTTGGTAATGTACTCATGAGGAACATAGCTTTGAGCTCTTAAATAAGCAAGTAAATTCTCTGAACATGGAGAGATTTACCAAAATCTCTATAATCTTCCCTATTTTCATCATACATTAATAAAAATCAGAATTTTATAAAGCAAATATTCAAATAAGGGTAGTTTAATTGATTTATTTATTGTTTTCTTCAGAAACCCACAATTATTCCTTATTTACTGAAAATAACAGACCATTGGTTGCAAGAGAAGGTCTTGGGTAATATTACAAAGATTAAAAATGAATAAGGAACAGGTATCCTGTCATAATATAGTTGGAAAAATTTATACCTAGAGAGTAACACCAAGAGTCATAATATTAACTCAGCTGTTTTATATATCGGGGTTGTATAAATGCTAAGCAGAACATTAAGGAATTTACAGAACCTTCTTTCAGCCACACTTTCAGTGGAGAACACTGTGGTGCAGACATTACTTTAAATTTCTGAGGACTGACAGTGATTTTTAAACAATGTACACATTTCCATTATTTTATTTAATTTATGTATGTATTTTTTTTGAGACAAGGTATTTCTATGTAGTTCAGATTGGCCTTGAACTCAATATATATAGCCCGGGCTGTTCTTGAACTCATGGAAATCTTCCTGTCTCAACCTCCAAGTGCTGGGTTTACAGCTGTGTGCCACAGTGTGTTGCTACACATTTCTCCTATGAGAAAGAAAATTGTATAAGTGTATGCATGCATGTATGCACATAAATATGATACGATTCATATACCTGGTTATATATGACATATGTTATATGTCTCAGTAATACACTTGTACTTATCCTAAACAAATATATCTAGTGGTTATGTTACCATGTAATACAGAGCTTTTTAATCAATAATGGAGCTAAAAAGGACACTTATTTACCATTAAATATAGTGAATTATGAAACTACAATACTATAGAATTTTTTTAAAATGATGTTTGCTTAAATGTTCACTTTGTATACTGATTCATACAGGATGTAGTTATGTTAAATCAACTGAAGGTGGAACTTGTGAAGACATAAAAAAAGTGTATCTATATATTTGAAATGTCATTGAGGTTGCTTGAGAAATAGAGTGACTTTGCATCCATGGTGCAGCATTGCCATTGTACTGCTCTGACTTGACTTTGTCAACGTTAATTTTCTTTAGTTTAATAGGAAAGAAGTAAAACCATAAAAAAAGGACTTCCTCAAGGTAGACAAGAGATGAAGAAAGAGAAAGGAAAGGGCTGTGATTATAAAATGTAGGGTGGAGTTCATTCTGAAGTGGAGAAGAAAAAAGAAATGAAACCACATATTTGAGATCCTGAATATTAGAAAGATGGAGAAGTAGATGAAGCAAAGTGACTTTATGCAGAATAAAGATAAAGAATCAGTGTTTATCCGAGGTACTCTTGTCCTAGAAATTAAGAATTTAGACATTCTTAATTAGAGAAATGTAAGCATTTATTGTATCACAAATTGATGCAAGTATAACCTAGACCAAAGTATAACCAAGACTTTGTCTTACAGAGTCAATTACATATGTAAATTAAAGTATTACTTTAACATCAGTAGTTCAAGAAATTTATCTTGAAGAGTTTAAAAATAAATGTATTTTATATCATCCTTGTAATACTTTTGTATGCAAATATTTTAATGTTCACTATTCACTTAGACACTTACTTCAAGTGAGACATAAAATACATGGGAAATGGGGTCCCTGGAGTCTATGATATATCTGTGATTGTGAGTGGGTAATTTGTTTACTACAGACTACTAAGGTTCTGTCAAAACTAGACAAGGAATCACTTTGTACCTGGTAGAATAGTTAGTCTCTCCATCTCTGTCTCTCTGTCTCTCTGTCTCTGTCTCTCTCTGTCTCTCTCTGTCTCTCTCTGTCTCTCTCTCTCTGTCTCTCTCTCTCTCTCTCTCTCTCTCTCTCCCTCTCTCTCTCTCTCTCTGTCTGTCTATCTATCTGTTGAGTGAGGATGTGGAGAATTGAAATTCCTGGCCATTACTGGTTAGGATATAAAATGGTATGTACCCTGCTGAAAGGAGCAGGTAAGCTACTCAAAAGTTAAAAATAGAAGACCAAAAATGGCAGCTCAGTGGTGCAAGACTTGTCTTACAAGTACTAGGCCCCAAGTTTGATACCAGAATGTCCCTGTTAAGTAAATAAAAAATAGACATATTTAGGAGTCCTACTCATAAGTATGTATACAAAGCAAATAAAATTAGAATCTCAAAAATACATTTTACCCCTGTAAAAATACAAAATTAATTCAGAGTCAAATGGAAAATGTGATCTATACCTTCAAAATAATATGAAGGAAATGATATCATTTGTGTCAATACAGATAGATCCAAAACACATACTAACTGAAATAAATCAGTCACAGAAGAATAAATACTGCATGGTTATAATTACTAAACAAATTTAAAATCGTCAAACTTCATAGAAACAAAATAAAATGGTGGTTTTCAGAGGAAGAAGTGAGTTATTTTTAATAAATATAAAGTTATACAAAATGAGTAAGTTTTAGATATCTACTATACAACATACTACTTATAGTTAATAACACTCATGGTGGATTGGATGAATAGACCCTATGTTAAATATTCTAAATTTTAAAAAAGAACATTAAAAGAGCACAAAAACATTTTTGAGGGTGATGACTACTTTGTTTTAATGTACACCCATCATCAGATTTATATGTGTAATGTTTTTGTATATATCAGGTATGCTACAATGAGTCTATTTTAAAGATAGAAATCACAACTTGTTCATAATAGCATCCCTCTTTGGGGTTTTATATGCAGATTTTCTTACATATTTTTAAAAAATGCATATTTATTTATAACTGTACATAATTTTATTTAAAAATCATCATTTTCACTGAAATTAGTTTTTAAGAATGAGTGTGATTCATTCACCACATCTTGATAAGTTTGTTTAGCTTTTTGTCATTGGTACACCCTAGCACTTCTTTTCAGCCAGTTTGGGTTTACTGATTCTGCATGACAATATTTAGTTTTCTTTGCACATAATATTTTAATATGTGAAAAACTCAAGTTGCTGCAATAAAAAAGGCTGAAACTCAAATCCTCCCCTAAAGTGAAGGCTGTCTCTTGGAGTATTTGCTTAAGAAGCAGAATGCTAAATAAGGGGGGTAAAAAGAGCTAATTTTGATAGATTTGTCTTGGGTTGATGCTCAATCATTAAGATACATCTGGTTGAGCTCCAAAATTGTGTAGGTCAAAAATTGGCATCCACACTGGTAACAGTGCCATTGAGGTTTGTGGGGAGGGAAGCCCTGGCAGATATTCCAGAGCTAGTGGTGAAGGGATGCTGCATCTGCCCTGGGCAGATCTCAGAAGGCTCAGCATTACAATTCTTTTCATGTATATTTCCTGGAAATTAAGAGCATGCCTTTCTTCCTTCCCTCTTTTATTTCTTCTCTTCTTTCCTTTGGTGAACCTATTGAGAAACTACTTAAGAATTGCCATGATATCATAGACACAGCAATGTTTCTATGTAGCTAATTTTTTAATGATTCTTTACTTTTAGGTTATTAGTACATGTGTGTATTACAAATACTTACATTCCTTGTGGA